TTGTGCATGACACACAACAGACTGGGGAGGGAACAGACAGCATATTGGCAGCACATAGGGCAGGAAGCAGAAAATAGAGTAACAGATCAGACAGGGCAGGGAGCAAAAAGCAGAACAGCAAATTGGGCAGGAGAAGGGTATTGGAGTGACACTCAGAGAGTGTCCCAGGTTTATTTTGTGACATGCCTGCTAAAAAAATTGGCCCTCCTCTGGTTTACACTCACCCTACTATCAGCATTCTACTCAATACCCTGTGTACTTCCTTGTTCCTTCATTTGTGTGTTGTGAGATTTCAAATGGTTTGGCTTTACTGCATGCCACGAAAGGCAAGAAAAAATCTCTTGCAGAGCAATAAGTACAAACCTCTTCCAGTCCAAAACTTCGGAGAAAGGTAAAATATAGGAGTCAGCAATGATCACAGGGACACAACCAGCTTGAAGCACATCACTTAACACAGCCTGCCCCAAGCGGGCACCACGCAGCACGACACAAAATGTAGCTTCCTGTTGGCAAACAGAAACCAACACAGACATCAGAGATAAAAAAAATAAATATTATACTGTGACAATTTATACTACCATGCACCCACCTCTGGAGATGCTGGTTAAAAGGAAAACAGGTTTGCTCTTTGCTACCATAATGCTCTCATTTATAAGACTAAAAATAAGTGTGCAACTTTATTCTGCATTGGTCCACAAGTGTAAGGGGCAGAAATGAAGACTTCATGAATCCAATAAGGTGTTTCTATCTTCAGTGCAGAAACCTTAATCTTGAAAGTTTTAATGCATCAAAAAGGACAAACTAAAAATGCCAACTCTTTAAAAATCTTAATAGTTAAATATGTTCATGATTTTTCCTCTAGAATTATACATATGTTCTTTAGGATATCAGTGAAGATAACCCGAGATAAACTTTTCCCCCTGCTGATATACACTTAAAAAAATCTGATTATATCAACAACAGTTCAAAAACACCTAACGTACAACTGGAAAATAGGAGATTGGTTAAAAGACTGGTAGTAGACTATAAATACATTTTCACCTCAGGCTACTTAGCTCAGAACATTATCAAGTTGAAGTTGAATTGACAGCTGATCAGTTGGCCATGTCAAAAGTTCTCTGGTCTTGGTCCAGTACCAAAAATTCAGGTAGCCACAAAAGACAACATTCCTATTGGCACTAATTTGCAACGTGGTTGGTATCCAAAGAAGAAAGGTCAAGAACCAAGACTAAACACCTTACCCGTAGCCTTGTCAGGAAAGTGTAGGGCAATCAGCCAGGGAATCCACATAGCTGTTGCCTATGCTGTACTTGTCACATGCTTCCAGGGCTGAGAGACTAGAATTTTTCCCCAGCCCCAAAAATCATATAAAAATAGTTCACAGGTTTTTTTTTTAAAATAAGATTAGGGTACTATAATCTACGAGTCCAAGAAAAGAGCAGGAACAAAGTAGAGAAGGCATTCAGTTTGCTTTCTGTAGGAGACAATGAAATACCAGCACTAGAAATCTTTGTCTCCTTATTTGCTTCCCAATAAAGTTATGAAATATATGTGCATCTCAGCCAAAAGACGACCTGAACAGGAAACATTAACAACCTAACAGCCCAAGTGTCTGCCTAATAGGAAGCCAGTAAAAACGAGTGCAAGTAAGGATCTATTGAGATTACGGTCCTCTGACTTTTGTGGAGGAAAAAAAGCAGGGATAGGTGTGGGGGTGGAGTGAGCAACTAAGTGAGAAGAAAAAAAAGAAAGGAGCAACACACATTTTAAACATCCACTCGACAGACCACAGGGCAGCAGGTGGAAGACTTCTGGTAAGGTCTGAGAGGAAAAAAAAAAAGAAGAGTCCCAGATGTGGACACACATGCTCATCTGCCCAGATAACCATTTTTCCTGTCTAGACAAAGGTTACTATAAATACATCTCCTCACATCACCACTGTTATCAGCCAGACATTCCAAAGGGAGATGCAGAGCTCTGCAAAGGAAAGTATTTTAACAATCTCGGCATGTGCCAGCTCTTTTCTGAGTTAAAAAAATATCCCCTTGCTTGCTATCCTTGAGCAATCCAGTCTGCATGTGAAGAAGCAAAGCAAACAGACTTTTTTTTCCCCTTCTGGCTGAAGTTTTCGGGACTTGGGATGACCCTTCCCCTCCCTCTCCTCCTCCACCACATGGAATTTTAAACATCTTTCCTGCAAAACATAACAGAGCTGGTGGAAATTTTGCTTTTCCTCCATGTATTTGTTGTTTTATCATCATTTGTTGAAGTTCAAAGATGGATTACATGCTCGCCAGAGACGGAGTGCAGCATGATACTCACCCACTGCCTGATGGCACAGTTCACTTCACCACACCACGTGCCAAAGCACCTTGTCTCAGGGAATTGCCAGGAGACACAGGGGTCTGAGAAAGCCTATCTGGTTTTATCTTCACTGACACATCAAAAGCCCTCTGGAAGTTGGGCCAAGGCCATCAAACACATTTCACCTAGATGTTTTTATAGCTGCATGCTGTCAAATCTTCTAGCTCAGTTTGTCATATCTATACGGGGAACTCTGTGGGGGTTTTTTTAAACTACTAAACTGCATACAAAAATAAAACCTGACAGACTTTAATAAAACACGGATCTCGTTTACCCAAACAAATCTACACAATACTCCTTCCAACCTCATTTTAATCTTCCTTCTGCATGTGACAAAGGAGCCCTCTGTTTTCAAGCACTGCCTAACGTGGATTGGATTGACAGAGACAAGAAGAAACATAAAACCCGACTGCCTGACTATTTATGGTCAGTTTGCACATCAAGTAAAATTCCCAGTGCCTTTCTGTGCTGGCCACTGTAAGTCAGATGATATATTTCTGCCCCAGCAAAAATCTGCCCAACATTTCCACTGTCCTAACGTTATCTTCATTTACTGTCTTAACCCTATGTAGTGCACTGTTATGCAGCTACCATATCGACTCCAGAAACGGTTACCTCTCGGAAGCAGCTAAAGCAATCCAGAGCAGCCTATTAATTGAAGTTCATAGTTTACTTCTGGCTCTTGAAAAATCAAAGACTATTAAAAACTAAAACTAAGAACAACTTTACTTCAGTCAAGTTAGCAGACTAGTCATACTCTGACACTTTCAGGAATTTAGCTGAAAATCAAAGAAGTGTCCTCCCTACTTATGGAAGACAGGGTTTCCATGACTAATGTCAAACATCAGGTGAGATTTTAGAGATGGAGAGGCCTTACCTGAAGCACCTGAGGGTAATCAAAGACCTGGTTCCTGTTACAACGTTTACGAACAGATGGGACTCCCTCTGAAAGATTTGTGCATTTGTCCAGAATCAGCACAGATTCCCCATTCTCAGCTTGAAGAGCCTCCAAGTCAAAGCGGTACTCTGGGTGCAAAGCCATTTGTGATGAAAGGATGAAGTACCTGCGGGGACTGAGCCAAAGAACCAAGGTTACCTGACATTTCCGTAAGCTGCTCCTGTAAAGACTCTGAAACACACTTCTATCAACTTCGGTCCAGAAGAGTCCAGATTACTTAGCCACTGCACACACTGCAAACCTTCCTTTTGCTTATTCGTTTAAACTTCCAGCGTTCATGGAAGAACCCAGATGGAAGTTGGAAAGGGTTCTGATGCAGTTTAATTATGCTTGGGTCAGATCCAGTTATAATTACATAGATAACTGGCAGTATATATTAATGGATCAGTACAGCACACTGTTTCACATACAGCTTAAAATGTATGTAATTTAAGAAAGGCACCCCCTCAGTTTAGGACAGGCAATTCTCCCAAGTTTCATGAACTGAAATAAAAATGGCTCTGCAAAACAGAAAAGGCTAGCCTTTGAACTCAAATTACTGCACTACGTATTCACTAGTTTTAGCTGAAACTACATATTCATTAGTTTAGTTTAAAACACGTACGACACTTGGGCTGACAGAAGCTAATTTTCCTCCTTGCACTCTGTTTACTTAATTTTGTATTGGTCAAAGATGCTAAATTGACAGCCTCGACCCTCTCTACTTAACAATGAAACAAGTACAGCAACAACAGTGACAGGACAAATTTCCCCACACGTGTTTCTACGGGTCATGTCTAAAGGTGCAACTTCTGGATCAGACGATGAAACGTAGCTATATTCCCCAAAGTGCTTAAACACCAGTCTCTGACAAATTATTTTTCACAAATTATATATCTAACAAATTATAATGAAAGTTGCTGACACTCCGGATAACGTAATATTAAAATATTATGAAAGTGCTCATTAACAGCTGAGGCCAAGAAATGCAAGGATATACCCTCAAGTTAGATGGTCATAGCTTTAAACTGTGCATTTTGTTAAAGCTGGAATACAGCATGCTTTTGTAGTTTTAAGAAATCAGTTAAAAGACAGACTACTCCATTATTCTTCATACAAGGGAATACACAGCATGTGCCTGCCTGCACATTGCCAAGAAAATTCAGGAAATATGAGGCCTAGATTGAGGAATCCAATTTCCCTCACTTGATGCCTGACTTTTTTTTTAAATACAGCCCTGAAAAAATACCTAATACAACAGTAGACACCATCCTGCTGTTCCGCCTGCCCCTTTACCCATCTCCATGCCAGCAAGTTTGGTCACTTCAACTGACAGCTGAAAATGGCAATTTTTTTTTTAATTCTATTTCTGTAAGTCTCAAAATGCTCACAATGGCTTGCTGAAATATTTACTATTATTAGCAGTGGATTTATAGCTTTTTGAAGCCAAGGAACTATTAAAAAAGAAAAGGAAACCTAAATTACATTCTCAGTTCAACTCTCTGAAAGAAAGAAATATAAAGATTTCCCTTCCAGGCCAGCACAGCTAGTGCAAATGGCCAGCCAGAAGTAACAGAAGATAGTTCATTTTTGTGAAGGAAAATTCTGCCATGAAATTGTCAACATTCCCTAACATCAGAGTCTGGCAATCCAAAAATTACTATAATTATATATAAAATTACAAAGTATATCAAGGCGGTAGGACAGTGAATATTAAGCTGCTTTTGTCATTCTCTCCACACTTTAACACAAAAGAAAATGAAACTTGTTGTTTTTCAAATTATACAAATGGTGACTGGCCACCAGATGGCACTCAGCTACTTCTTTAGTAAGTGAGAACATGGACAGTGAAAAATAACTAAGCTAGTTGGACTTGCTCTCAGCTATCTATCTCTTCTGTTAAGCACTACAAACTGATCGTATACAGACCAGAAATGAATGAAGCAGTCTGTACTTAAAGGGAGCGTAGCTCTCTGTATCTGGTTGAATAACTGCCCTACCAGATGCATTTTGCCTAGGTAAAAGTGCAATATTCTCTCCTTTTGTGCCTGAGCACAAAAAAAAATTAAAAATACCAAAAAACAACTTGTACTGTGCTGCTCTCCCTCAAAAGTGACACAAGCAGAAATGCTGGGAGAAATGCACTATCCATATGAACAATCACAAGCAAACATAAGAATTGCCATTTACTGGCTCAGACCATAGGTCCGTCTGAGAGCGGCGGGTACTGAAAGGGACAGTGAACAGGGCATGACCAGGGTTTTCTCCACTTCCCTCTCCCACTTGCAGCCTCCAGCATTTAAGACCTAGGAAATTCTAATTCAGAAGCTCTATCCCTAATTCCCATGCCCAATAGCTACTGATGCTCCTTTCCTCCAATAATATGCCCAATCCCTTTTTGAATCTAGCTGAACTATCAGCTTCCACATCTGGTGGCAATGAGTTCCCTGCTTTAATTACACGCTGTGTGAAAAAGAACTTCCTTTTGTTAGTTTTAAACTACCTACCTACACGTTTCATTTCGTGACCTCTAGTTCTTGGGTTATATATCTTTGAGTTATAACTGTCACTGTATCCAAAATAATTCTATCTTGCAGTCCTCCAAAAGCAATAGGAAGAACACTGACCTTATCAGCAGGAGGCACAGATTACTGCCACATATAATCAACTTTTAATCTGAAATTTGCTGCATCCCTTTCACCACAGAGGGGCTGTCTGATATAGTGGAGGGGTACAAGATAGACATGGCGCAGTTACACAGTGGTAACTACGCACTATAGTTAGCAGTGCCCCGTGTAACAGGTTACTTATCTTCTAAGGGCCAACACGCCACCGGAAATGTAGTTAACAGTACAAATCACAAGCCATCTCACACAGTTTATTCATCTGTTAAACAGAATAACAGAGGTAAGCAAAATCTAACCGCTGTCAAGTACTTGCAGGAGCTCAGTTAAAGGACTGATTATATAACATCTGCCAAAGTCTTGTACAGGTATCACCTACATGATAAAGGAAGATCTGTGATGGAACATGTCTCTTACCTTACCAGTAATCTCTGTACATGAATGCAAGTGCACATGCATACCTATAGCAAGTTTATCATCCTGATATCTTATATGTTTCCTCAGTACCATCAGCAATTTGGCAGCTATAGTCATATTCTAACCCCACCCCTCTTAAATAGCTGTAATCAGTCCAATACACCAGGATCATTTTACCCGGGTACTCTTTCTGGCAATTCAACCTCTGCAGACAACGGGCTATAAACAGGAATGCTGACATCATAGCCTTGTCGGTAGGTCCACGTGGAGAAGCCTCCTCCAGCCAACAGAGCCCTGAAAATAGAAGAGTAGAGAAGACTGTAAAGAGAGCACATAGGATATCCCTCTAATTTCCAGGTCATGTCACTTTGCTCATCATTCCAAAAGTCACTGCTGGCTTCTTGCTCTGAAGTGCAAATGTCTACAAATCCTTTATCAACAGCTTTCCCCAAGCAGTTTTAACTTCATTTTAACCTTTCCCAACTGTTCTACCTAAAAAGAAGAGAATTACAATTTTTTTTTAAAGTGCAATTGCAAGTTGCTGTTGAAGGTACTATATTTTGGATGAGATGCAACAACTTAATCATCATTAAAAATCCTGTACTATATTTGCAAGCCCTTGTTGCAAGCCAGTTTCAGATAAAGTACATCCCTTATTCAGCTGAACATCAGATTTTTCAATCCTTCCCATAAAGTATTATCTGTTGTGGCTTGGAACTGTCAAGCGTCAAGATACTTTTCAGGTACAGATGCAGCAATTTTGTATTTTTACAGTTTAAAGTCCTTTTGGATTCTTGGGTGGGGAGAGAAGGAAAAGACTAGCCTCATTAGTGCCATTACACAACACAGTCCATTTACACACAGGCACATGCTTCTTAAACTTTCAAATGTGAAGCCTTCCCACTTTGACACCTCTGCCACAGTGCAATTTGCTGCAGGTTCATCTCTTAAGCACAATTTAATGTGTCCACAGTCTTAGTTTTTCCATTAATAAATGCCATAAATGCAAACACAATCACTCAATAAACCACATGATCTGAAACTAAGCCCTTGAAAACAGATGCAGCTCAGAGACCTGTATAGTGGGAAGCCTGGAATAATAAAAGTTGGTTATTTTAAGATATAATTCACCCTCCCAAAAGGAAGGAACTGACTGGCAGACTGACAACCTATCCCTGGCTTTTAATAAATGGGGCAGCTTTCTGCAACATGGAAAGAATGAGCTTTAAGAAAAGGAAGAAAATGTATGAAGGAGAAAACTGAACTTTTCTTGTTTCTAGCAGAAACTTATAACGTAGTATATCATATTCCTTATTTCTGTTTGAGCTTCTCTGACATATGCTAGTAGAGGGCAGGTGCCTTTCAGCTAAGCTGTGCCCACAATGGCCATGTGGCATAATGAATGCAATATCCTAGTCAAAGAAGACCAGGCTTCAGGGTCTTTCTGACCAGCTACTTGGACAGCTCATTAGAATCTCCATCCTTCATTAGAGCAGCAGGTCATGCTATAGTTTAAACTGGCCTAGGGCAGGGTGCCAAAGATACAGCCTGCAGGCTAGACCCCTCCCTCAACACAAGCCAAATCCAGCACCCATGGTGTCCACTCTGGCTGGCCTGGGATGAGAACTACATGTGGTGCCTCTTCCAGGACGGACGGCATGTTCAGCATGGGCCCTAGAGCAGCTGCTGCATGCAGCACAGTTCCAGGCCAGCCAGAGCAGGTGCTGGATCCAGCATGTGAAGGGGAGGGAGGCTGCTCCAAGGGTCTGCCTCCACCATCCCAGATATGGCACCCGCTCTGGCCAGTCCAGGACTGTGCCACACACAGTGCCCGTTCCAGCTGATATGGGACTTGTGCTGCATGCAGTGTCTACCCCAGGCCACCTAGAGCAGGCACCACACGCAGCTTGCATCCCAGTCCAGCCAGAACAGGCACCACGTGTGGCACAGCCCTGGACTGGCCAGAGCAAGCACCATGGGCACTAGATACACCATGTGGGGGAGAGGGTCCATGGGCCTGATCTGGCCCACGAGGCCAGCCCCACACTGCTCATCAGCCTACGGACCAATCCTGTGCCCCTCATCTGGCCTCTGAGGCCAAATGACTTTGACACCCCTGCCTTAGGATACTGGGTCAGCTGAAGTTACCATATAAAGCAATTTGCAGAAAAATAAATACATTTTTCCAATTTGACTTTCTCTCATTCTCTGGGAAAGAAGATAAATATTATTGAAAGGATCCTAAGGAGCAGGAGACACTGTTTTTCATGACTTAAAATGAATATGGCTAGCAGCCATATTGCCCCTAGCTGGGATATTTTCAGAGTTCACTAGTTAAGCAGATATTTGTCTGGTCAGTAGGTGGGTTAGAGACATCCAAGAATGACTTGAAATTCATTAGGTGGCACTGTCACTCTGAATCATCACTCAACCAAATCCTTATCACAATGTTTGGAGAGGTGGTGTTATATAGCTGGTCTAAACAGGTGGCCTGATTTACTGTTAAAAGACTATCCATTCTTTTATTCACTAGAGCAAGATACCTTGGTCATATGTCAGTAAGTTCTATTTGCTTTGATTCCCTTTGCAACTCCTACAAGATGTTTCACATCCTATCCTAATTATGCAGTGTGGAACTGTTCTACATTGTGAAATTACAATATTTTGCTCTAGAAATGCCTGCACTGGTGATACAGGAAGGTGATACAAGAAAATCTACTGTGCTGTGTTAATTATGGCCTAAGCAGGACTATGGATTCTTATCCCAGTACCTGAATTAGATTCTAACCCCTTTTATCCCCATCACTTTATTACTTGTCTGCCACTTTCAGCACTGCCTCCCCTCCCCCATCTTTTGTATTCAAATCACTCTCTCTGATATCCTTCTCTGTGTATATCCTTGCAGAGCCTCCAATGAAGTGAGTTCTTGCTCACAGAGCTTATGCATCTCTGATACAGTTAGTTTATAAGGTGCATCTCTATCCTGCCTGCTACCTACATTTCATTTCTGAAGCTCTTTAAACGTTCTGAGTTCAGAATAAACGATACTGATACAGAACTGGGAATTCAAAACAGCTTCCACTTCTGCAGCACCTCGAACTCTGAACACTAACCGTTTACAGGACCAGAAGTTACTTGGGGACAGGATGACAACTTAAGAGATGTTGAATGACAACATAGGTTCCAAAGCAAATTCTATTATTTTAGATTCCTTTCCACTGCCTCACCTTCAGCAATGCATGTGCATGCACAAAGAAGGCTGCTGTGACCAAATCTCACCCTTCAAGGTCCAGGTTCCATGTTTCATTCACAGTACTTCACTTACAAGGCAGGGAATGAAAAACCTGGATTTGGCTTGCATGTTGCTGCCCTTGCACTTTCACACCCATCATTTTTTCCCCCTTAATTAGGAAACTGCAACCAGATTGTTTTAATTGGATCCGGTGAACAACCTGACAGCACCTCATCAGCCTTGAGAAAGCAGGTGTGCATCACACTGAGTTTTACCTAAATAAACCCACAGGGAAGAAACACCCATTAAATAACCCTGCTCCAATTTTCAATGTGTGGTGCAATAAGAAAAAAAATGGGGCCAAGGTATTAACCTATTAACCCTTAAAGTACCAAGGACAAGCAGTCTTTCGATTGCACTGACCACAGAAAAACAAAACTGTACAGTTTTTTCCTCATCCCCTCACTTCTTCCCAGCCATTGCTTTGTCTTCCTTCCTCCCCTCCCCGGGAAGTGCCTTGATTTGTTCCCATCTCCTTCTGGTCCAAGACATTTTGCCCAACCTCCACGCTCACCGTCCTTTGAAACCACTCTCCTAAGTACCAGTGCCCAGCTCAACTGACAGTTCAAGAACTTGCAACAGAAATTCAGGCTTCTGGTTTACGTAAAATTTGGTATATGCTAAAGAGACAAATGGAAAACTTTGCAGACAGAACCAACGTATCTCAATACTGAACAGAAAGACCACTAACAAGTCTCACGTAAAGGCCTTATAGAGTTCTACTAATGCACTTCAGACCTGACTTTCTACTCTCAGCTCTACTCAGGTCTGCCCCAAGCCACCTAACTCTAACTACCAGTCTCTAGCGTATAAATGGGTAAAGCATAATTTGTCAACATCAGACCTGGAGTTGGGAAGGAAGCTGTATAGTCAGTCCCTTTATGTACAACTAGTCCTGTGATATTTTGGTTAAACACATGTAATGGAAAGTCTGACCAAATTAAGTCATTACCCATTACATAGGACCTTAGAGATGTCTATTGCCACCAGGTCCTTTCACTCTTTCTTGACCCTGTTTCCCATGAATTAATAAGCCCAAGGAGATTCAAAACTACCTGACTTCTCCCAATACTATAACATACACTTAAAATAAATGCCTGCTGAAATAATACATTTCCTGAGTACCAAGCCAAGACGCATAATAAGCCAGTTTTAAATGGATGTCTGACATTAAAATGTTTAATAAAAAAAGTTGTACAGCACAAGGTAAATCTACTGCATTTAACAGATCTATTTCTTCCACAGGTACCTTTGCTAACACATGTAAGTACTGGAACATAGCACTTTTAAAGAGAACTACATGAAAGGAAAACCTTTCTTAAATGGGCAAAACGTGAGAGAATGTGTGTCAGATGATGGGTTTAACAGGTTTTGACTAGAAAAGAATGAGCTTGGACTGCCCTCTTCTGGCCAAACTTGTGTCACAAACATTACATATCCTGGTTCTTGCCTTTTTTGATTCTGACACTTTGTCACTACAGCAGTTCCAAAAAAGGACACCGTGGGCTTGATCTCTGAACACTCTCAGAAAAAAAATCCAGTCCAGTTAGCAAGAAAGAGACAATTCATTTTTAATTTCCCACCTTTAAAAGAAATAAAGATATTCAAACTCGTATCTGTAATATCTTAGGCAAAACGTTGCTGATTGAACATGACAGAAAAGAATCCATCTTGCTCTTTAATGCCTGTATTCATTTTGCAGGACTTAAGACTATCTCCATGTGTCAGTAAAGTAGAAAGAGTTGATTTCTTTGTTTAACAATAGTTTAAAATGTCTTTGTTCTGTGTCTTTCTACCTGAAACTTCTGTTCTTTATTAAAACTCTTTTTTTCCCTTATCTTTAGATCTTTTTTTTGTCTTCTCAAAGTGTCTGTAAACTAATAGCCTGCAACTAATAATGTAACTCAGGGTTCAAAACTCTTCCTAAGTTCCTGGCAGGAATTTTCAAAATGCAGAAACTAGAGGAGAAGAGCCAAAATCAACAACCTCATGATCAGTGACAGATGATTACTGGGTCAGTGCAACTCCTGAAAATTTTACAGAATTCAAGCTCAAATATGAAACCACATAGGCAGAATAGCAGTATCATTTCTGAATACAAAGCAGGGACATTCAAATTTTTCCCAGAAAAGATAGCCAGAAGCAGTTCTTCTGCTGCTGAAATTTACATTAAGTGGAGCTGTCTGTCATCATGCTCAATTAGCTGGTGCATTCTCTAAAGGCTACATGTCTAAGCAGGAAATGGTCCTCCGAGCAGTCTAGCAGCTAAGACGAAAATGGGGCATTGACTGCTGGAATAGAGTAGATTTCACCCTCTACAAAGCAAAAAAGAGGATGACAATTAACTGTTTTCTGTACTCACAAGGGATAGGACAAGAAGTGTTTAAATTACAATAACAGATCTTTAATGTTGGCTATTAAGAACTTTCTACCTATGATGGTGGTGAACTACTAAAACAGATCATTTAGATCGGTTGTAAAATCTCTGTCACTGGATGTGTTTAAGTTATTTAGGATGGTTTAGACAGGGATGATCCCTGAGCAGGATTTTGGACTCAATGACTTCTTCAGGTGCCTTATGGATTTTATTTCTCACTCTATGGGCTACACTGTAGGCTACCAGAAACAAACATCTGGCCTAAGAATCTACCTCCTGTCACAAAAAGTAAGTCCAAGTTATACTCCACCTGGGCAAGATTCAGGGAACACTGTATCTGCCTTGGAACAAGCAACAATTCTAATGCCACTTCCTCTTGAAAGACATCTGAATCCCACCCAAACCAAGAGTGTGTGCACTCAAACAGCAAGATGCCTACCTATCTCTGGGAACATCCAATGCTGTGTTGTAATCCGGTGGGCCCCCAGGCAGCATGTTGAACAACAAGTGGTTTATGCCTCGATCCCATCTACAGAGTAGGAAAAAGAAACATCAGCACTTGAATTAACAAATTCTAGACCTACTCCCCCAAATACTGATTTTAGATCTTATCATGGCCCACTGTATGGCTTCCCCACCGCCATCAATCACCTCCTCCTTTGACGTGATTTTTGATGATTCACACTTCAAAGTTTCTACATGTACCTGGATAACTGTGCCAAAGCCTGAGCTGTTTCCTTGATTCGGAGCGTGTTCTGGTTCAACACATCTATGGACGGCACAAAGAGGCAAGCCCTGTTGACATCATCCGTGTAGAACTCACTGTCAGAGATGGCTGTCAGCAGCTCATTGTACTCCCGAGAGATGGTGTTGCTGACTGGTGTCCCATACTCATCTACGTACTTCTTCAGCGAATATATATAAACCTTAATCTTGTTTTTGGGATTGAAGCCACAACGATAGACATCAAAGCAGGTGTGCATCCTGCAGCTGAGGTCCCCCCGCTCTGGAATGGGACTATCAGCCAGCAGCTTTACCACAGGCACATCATGGACACTACGCTTCTCCACTGTCCAGTCACTGGATGACTCAATGGAGTGTGGCCAGAACTGGAACATGCCTGTGGCAATGAGGCCAAGCAGGACAATGGAAAACAGAGTGATGTAGTAGATGCGGTGCTTAGTCTTCATTCTTGGAATGAGGGCTGGACCCCGAGTGTTATATTTGGCTGACGCACACATAGTGGAACCAGCCACTTCTTCCTTGTCCCTGTACAGAATGAGAAGATAAATGTGTAAAGTAAAAACAAGGACAGATTTAAGTACGTGAAGGGAGCGGTAAGTATCGCACAGACAGGAAAACATTCATATAACCCTTGGAGACAGTTCCTTTCCCTCAGTGGATTGTACTGAAATTTCTCAGGCATGTAGGTGTTCCACTGCCATGTTAGGTGCTGGCTTCTGCTACGTACCAGAAATGTCACTTGAAAGTGAACTAATCACCTGCTGAAGAAAATCAAGTCAGCTGGCCCAGACAGTTTGCACCCCAGGGTACTTAAAGAGCTGGCAGGCATCATAGCTCAGCCACTTGCACAGATCTTCGAGAACTCATGGTGCTCAGGTGAAGTGCCCAAAGATTGTAACAAAGGCAAATGTGGTGCCTATCTTCAAGGAAGGGAGGAAAGTAGATCTGGGGAACTACAGGCCTATCAGCCTGACCTCTATCCTAGGGAAGATCTTGGAAAAAATTATCAAAGAGACCATTCTTGAGAAACTGGCTCATGGCAATATCCTGACGAACAGCCAACATGAGTTTGTTGCAGGTAGGTCTTGCCTGACCAATCCCATTTCCTTCAATGACCAGGTGACATATCACCTGGACAAGGGAGAACAGATTGACATCATATATCTTAACTTTAAAAAAGTCTTTGATATGGTATCCCACGATCTCCTCATGGAAAAACTGGCCAACTGGGGCCTTGGCTACATCACAGTCCAATGGCTGGGGAATTGGCTCCAAGGTCAGACCCAGAGAGTGGTAATCAATGGAAGTAATCATTGTGGTGCGCCGTGACCAGTCGGGCTTCCCCAAGGCTGCGTCCTTGGGCCTATACTCTTTTAACATCTTTATTAATGATGCAGACATTGGTATCAGAAGCGGACTGGCCAAGTTTGCCGATGACACCAAACTTTGGGGTAAAGCGTCCACACCTGAGGACAGGCTGGTGATCCAGGCCGACCTAGACAGGCTCAGAAAATAGGCAGATGAAAACCTGATGGCATTCAACACCAAAAAATGCAAGGTACTCCACCTTGGGGAAAAAA